GATTTTGGTAAGATCAGTAATCAGAAAATATTTTGTGCTTAAGCAATAACCTTTTTGAGTATTAAAAATTTCTGTCTGAATGTGGATTTCCTCTAATCATATTTTGGATTATTTGCCTTCAGAATTACAAGGAATCTCCTTAGCATAATAGCCCAATGTTTTCAACAATAATGCTCTCCTTTTTTTCCTCTAGCAAAGGAACTTTGCTCATTGCATAACAGTCTTTTCCATGACTGTACAAAGATACAGAAATAATCTTTTACCAGAATATTCAGTTATTATCATAGTAAAAAAACAAAAAAATCTTTAAAATCTTTAAAAACCTTTAAAAATACATAGTCCAAATGTGAAATGAAGGATTGTTAATAACTTTTCATTTTTTTTCTATTTTCTCATGTAAAAATTTCCTCATGGTCTTATCTCTTAAAACTTGTTTTTATAATCAGTAAATTTCTGTTGATTTCAGAGTCTATTTTAATTAATGGCTCCAATCTCCCCTCAAATTGTTTTTAGTTATTAAAAAGAAGGTAGAAGGAGAAATAAATATTCTTAGCTATTTTTTCCTATATATTGTTCTTGCCATTTCCAAGTACCTACACATAAACTATCTGAGGAAGATGAAAAGCAAGACTCCTGAAGGACATAAATTTATTATTTCCCCTGAATAGAACTATACTTTTTAGTTTTTCCATGGCTGCTTAAAATTGATATTATTATATATAAAGTACACATACACATACATAGTTTATAACTTGTAAGCTTTAGGAAAAAGTTAGTGCTTTTATAACAATAATATGCCAAGACATTTGACAGATAAGAAAGAAATTATATCACTAGCTAATTGATATAAAGCATACTGGCTCCAACTGGTTTTGATCCCCCTACTGTAGGACTTTGCAGATCCTTTTTCTTCTCAATTTAAAAGTTTTCTGTCCCCAAACTATTTCTGTCATGTGTTCATAATGAACTCTTTTATTAATTCACATTTTGTTGTTGTTGTTGTTATTGGTTGTGGGACTTGAACTCAGGGCCTGAGCACTGTTCCTGAGCTTTTTTGCTCAAGGCTAGTGCTCTCACTTTGAGCCACAGTGCCATTTCTGGTTTTTAGGAGTTTAGAGTCTCAGGGACTTTCATTCCTGGGCTGGCTTTGAACCTCGATCTTCAAATCTCAGCCTCTTGAGTAGTTAGGATTATAGGCATGAGCCACTGCTACCCGGCAATATTAGTCACATTTTTGTTCCACACTAGTCTTTTTTTCAGTTTTTTTTTTAAATTTTAAGAAGTACTCATATTTTCCTTTTTCCAGTGATTTTTTTTCAGAGTTTAAGACAGAATAATCTAGGATATTTACTTTTACTTGCCTACTAGGAAGTCTAACCTCAACATCTAAGAATTTTGTTATTATCTTCACAATTGCTTTCATGGTTTGAATATGTGTTGGACAGTACTTACCTTCTGATCTTCTCATAATAACCCTATAAAGGTTGATGTAATTGTCTTCATTTTTGTCTTCATTTTATAAAGAAGAATACTCAAACTAAAAGAGAGTAACTGCTTTGTGTTAAATAGTCACTAAAAGATCTGGAATATGAGCCAATCTCTATTTTTTTCAGGCTACATTTTTCCCCCTTATGAATCCTGTTATCTTCTTTTCTACATTCTATCACCCATATCACCTAATCAATATAATTATAAAATAATGGAAATTCTCAATATTTTCACTGACAGATTATTTGAAAAGACTATTTGACAAAATTTTTTGTGACATAAACATCTGCTGTATTTTGAAATGATATCTTTGAATTTCCTTTTGAAAAATGAAAGCTATTTATGTTAGACAATAAATTACTTGTTTACATATGTTTGGAGAAATCATAGTTTTTATTTGTGTGTGTGTGTGTGTGTTTAGTTTTTGTTGCTGAGGATTGAACCTAGGGCCTTATATAAGTTAGTATACTATAAAACTGTTTCCTCAGCCCCAATAAATAAAGGTTTTAGGTGTTAAATCGTACAATATTTATTAATCTTATACACCCATAAGTGTGTAAGTTCTATATGAATTGATATTATAGGGCTGGGAAGGTGGCTCAGTGGTAGAGTGCTTGCTTGCATGCATGAGGCCCTGGGTTCAATTCCTCAGCACCATAGAAGCAGAAAAAGCCGGAAGTGGTGCTATGGCTCAAGTGGTAGAGCACTAGCCTTGAGCAGAAGAGCTGAGGGACAGTGCCCAGGTGGAGTTCAGGCCCCACTACAGACAAAAAAAAAAAAAGAAAAAAAAAGAAAGACAGAAAGAAAGAATTGATATTATAAAAAAATTTCAACCTCTTTGTTGAATGGCAAGTCCTTTGTATAACTACTTAAAGATAATTTAAAAAATCATCTGAGATAATTTAAGAAATATTTAGTATATACTTGTTAATATCACTTAAGTTTATACTTTTTATGAATACTTCTTTTTCTTTGTGATGTAATTCTCTGCAGTATATACTTTACTAAAAACTCAAATTCTTGAAGTGACACAGCTCAACAAATTATATCTTAAAATTTTTGTTAGCTTTTATTAGAAGTAGAGATTTCTGATTGTATTAAAATTTTAGTTCTGCTCCTAGATGCCACTAAGAAAACATCCTGGAACTGTCCAAAAAATGTTAGGAATCCAGAGTTTGATAGGTGATTCTTGGAATACATGAGCCTGGCTTTCTTTATTTTCTATAGTAGGTTTTATTTGAGTAAAGCCCTAAGAATTTTCATGGAAAGCTGTTTCTTTTTAAAATTCATTTTTAAAATTTCTTAAAAGTGCTGTTTTAATTCTCAAAAACAAAATCTAGTTCTGTGCCCTTATTCTCCAAATATGAATCTGTGACTGCTTGATTCTTTCATTTCAAATTTATGGATAAGCATGTGTTCTGTTAATAGTCTTTTTTTTTTTTTTCATTTATATCATTGACCTTTGCTTCAGAAAGCATTCAAAGGTTTTTAATGGAGGGAGCCATGAAAGGGGATGTTGTAAAGGCTTTATTCTATAAAAGAAGTCACACAGGCATGCTTTATGTTTGCAGAGTGATTTAATTCTTATGCATGCCGACATTGGCCATGGGCCATGAGTAACATGATAGAAAAGCACTTCTGGTGCAACCTCACAACCAAACTTTCCTACTTTGTGCTCTTTCTCACTCTCTGTGTTTTTTTTGTTTGTTTGTTTGTTTTGGTTTTTGTTTTTAAGAGAGAAAAGTACTTCTTATTCTATTTTTTTAAATTCCTTCTAGGAAAAGTGAAGCATGCTATCTAACCTTAGTTAACAGCTTTATCAAGATTCATAATTTACTCTTAGATTTTTAAAAAAAATAAGTAACTAAGGAACAGATTCTCCAGGGAGAAAGACTGCTGATTGCATCAGTCTTTTGAGTGCCCAGAAAAGAATTCTGAAGGTCAAGCCTCCTCATAGGGCTAGCAACTACTTTGGGGCCATTGGCTATGTTATTGCTTATTACTGTGTTCAATACCTTTATTATCTCAGTAGTACATCAAGGATTATGACCTTTACCTAGTAAGTTTATCTTGAAAATCAGAGATGAGGTATATGTAGTGACATAGGCCTTCAATAGATGGGGCCCTTTGTTTCTTTCTTACTACTAATCATTATTATATCATTCTTGCTTTTAGATAGCTCACTTTACATTCTCTGTAAAATTATTTGTTTCCTAAGAAATTGCATAACTTGACACACTAGGCAGTTTTTAATAGGAATCCAGAGTTTGATAGGTGATTCTTGGAATACAAGGGTTTGAGACCATGGCTTACATGAGCCTGGCTTTTTTGAGTAAAGCCCTAAGAATTTTCATGTAAAGCTGTTTTTTAAAAATTCATTTTTAAAATTTCTTGAGATTACAGAGAAGTAGGACAGTGGAGGAGAGAAGTACAGTTCAAGTTTAACTACTTGAAGTAGAGTTTTTTAAATGTAGAAGTTAAAACTCATTATTTAACTCAAGGAATAGTAAATAGACACATCTTAAATTGTCAAAATTTTAAAAATATATTTAAAAACAGTCCTCAGGTTTGGATGCTACTAGTAGAATACACATGTAGACTATATGTTGTACTTCCATTTTTTTTTCAAAATTCTACCTAGAGTTCCAATTAAATTATAACCTCCATTTTAAATATAGAAATAGGAATATAGGAGGCAGTAGGGATGGTTTTAACTGTTATGCATTAAAGCTATGTAAGTATTAGCAATTTTAGTTTGGTTCATGAACTAAGACTAACAAATCCATGGGGGCTTATTATTAGAAGCTGAATCTCTAAGGAAATTATGCTATAAAGAGTTTTATGTTCAGTTGTCTCTTACCAATATGATTTTATCTATCCAGATAAAATCTAAATCTTGAGGTACATAATTAGCATGTAAAGAAACCTTTTACTCGGGCTGGGTATCCTTGGCCTCATGTAGAGAATTATATCAACTTGTGAGCATCAAAATGGACACAAGATGACACATTCATTAAGATCTTACTGTTTATATTACTCAACTAAAAGTTGGGTGATGACTAGTTGGTGTTTCTTCTTTTTTCCAGAGTGGAGTGAATGCCAATAGAACTGTGGGATAATTAAGCAATGAAAGATAGCAGTGGTACAAGTTTTATGCCCCCAGTGCATTGTAAACAAAGATTTTACATTGAGCATTTCTATTCTTTGTGTATCCTCGTATATATTAACTATACAAATATAGAAGATCAAAAAGTGATCACCAATGATTAGTATTAAAGTATTAATACCATGTTATTATGAATATGATATACCATGTCTGGCATAAGATTGAAAAATACAAGCTGGATTATATAGTCATGAATATCTCATTAAAGTTCCAATTTAAATTAAACTAGAATCTAGAATCTAGTTGGAATTCTTCACTGTACATTAAGATCATCTATGTGAGATGTTAGGCAATGAAACTTTCAAAATGATTTACTTTTGTTCATTGGCTTTGCCTTTATTTACAGTTCTGGAAATTGCCAGTGCAGAGTGGGTATCACCGGCTCTACGTGTAACAGATGCCAAGATGGATATTATGGGTTTAGTAAGAATGGCTGCTTGCCCTGCCATTGCAATAATCGGTCTGCCAGCTGTGATGCTCTTACAGGTACATACTTTCCTTAATTTGCCATATTATTATTGTGTTGTTATTTTCATTGAGGGCTTTCACTATACATTGATTCTTCTCAAATAGTCTAAAAGGAGCTTTCTCTTCTAAATTAAATGTCATAGGACACAATAAGCCACATTCCTTTTATAACAACATGAAGACAATACATAAATTTCAAGTCATAATGGTTGGAGAGCCTTGGAAGAAAGAACTCTCTGAACTAAAATTTCAGAGAAATTTTAGAGAACTCTTCCTAAGTAAGCTTATTATCACCAGATGTTCTGGAAATCCAGGGTAAAAGAACTGATTGTAAGATGTCATGAGGCCAAAGAAAGAGTCAGACAGATCCAGCCTCGAACAGAGTACAATTTATTGGAGGTTTACTGGAAGTATAGTGAAAGGCAGCAACAAGATCAGTGAATTTTCTCATTGTGGGTCAGAGGAGGGAGGCTAACATGGTGACAAAAATAGCTTTTATTAAAGCCAGAATGTACATTCCTGATACTGAGGGTGCCAGGTTCTAGTTGTAAAGCTCCATTTACCAGTCCCGTGAAGTTATGTGTTAAGCTGGCCACAGTCAAATCAAGGTAGACTACACCAGGCAGCCTCTCTAGAGGATTTCTGTTGACTCTAGGCATAGACTTGGCCTACACAAAGGAATGCTTCTTGAGGAAAGAGGTACAAGAAGAGCTTTTGGAAATCTTGGAGTTTTCACAATGGTTGGAAACTAGAGAGACCTTAAACACAAGACCCGTACTCTGGCCATTAGCTGACTATGCAGGAGATGAAGACAAGTCAGAAATGTAGAGAGAAATCAGTTTTTGCTGAGAAGACAGGATCCTGTTAAAAAGGACTACAACATACAGCCATCTCTCTTAAGACAATGCCAGGCTCTGAGGCTACATGAAGTGGAATCCAAACAAAAGCCTCAGTGGCCAGTGCTAATCACTCACAGATTTTTTTTAGGATTGAGGAGGCAAAAGGGCTATAACCAAAAAAAAGGGATGAACCATAGGTGAACTGACAAATACTAAAATTGCAATCCGTTTTCAGTTTACCTCAATTTCTGATTGGACTGAGGTAATTCTTCATTATATCTACCTTGCAGAGGAAAAGAGAGACCTTTCTTATACCATGTCTGTCATAAGATTAAAAAATTCAAAGGGAATGCATAGATGGGAAAACATAATCAGTAAAAAGAGAAAATGTAAACATTGGAAGCAGAATCACAGGTAATGTACATGTTAGAGCCAGAATACAAAGATTTACTAAGAGAACTCCATGAAAGTGAACAATATAACTCATGGATGGAGACGGGAGAGAGGGACTAAGAGAGAGAAAGCGAATGAAGGAACAGAAGACACTGTACAAAAGGAAATGTACTCATTACCTGGCTTGTGTAACTAATCCCTTTGTATATCACCTTGTTAATAACACTCAATAAATTTTTTAAAGACTTATTAAGATTTATTAAATCAATATATTAAGAAAACGGAGGCCATCTAGATATAGTGTCTCGTTCAGGAGGCTGAGGTTAGGAGAATCATGTTTTGAGGCCAGCCAGGGCAAAGAGTTCAAGAGATCCTTTTTCAACCAAGAGCTGAGCATGATTGCACACATCTGTTACCCCAGCTAAAGTTCATTATGGTGGCACATGCCTGTTGTCCAAGCTTTGTTGGGAAGAGTAAAACAAGAGGATTGTGGGCACATGCCTGGCGGGAAAAAGTGAGAGTCTATCTCCAAATGACCAGTGCCAAACAAAGAGCTGGAGAAATTGTTCAGCCTGCCAAGCATGAAGCCCTGAGTTCAAACTCTTACTGCCAAAAAGAACAAGAGAATAGAGGCAAGTCAGACCAATTGGACAAAAAGAGGTAACATTTCAATAGAGGATTGTGCTCTATTAAAAAAGAATCCAATGGACAATCTAGACTGAAAAATATAATACTAGAAATTAATAACCCATTTGGATAGGCTTAAAAACAGATTGAACACAGTGAAACAAGTTAGTAGAACCAAATACAACGCAGTTAGGATAGCCAGACTAAAGCATTTAGAAAAAATAAAATGGAAAGAACAAAGCAGGAAAGACATGTGGGACACTGCCAAAAAAAAAAAACCTAACAAAAATGTAATAAGAGACTCAGACAAGGAGGAAAGAGATAATGACTAGGAGTTTTCCAAACCAATGAAAATCATCAACTCGCAGGTTCATAAAGCTGAAAAAACTGAAAGCAGTATTTTTTAAAAAAGAAAAAAAATCACATTTTGGAAAAATTAAACTATCAAAAACTAAAGACAGTCTTCTGATCTTCAGTTTTCCTTAAAAAGCCACTTAAATACTGTTTTTTAAAAAAATTATGGCACATTACTCTGACAAGTAAAAATCTCCTAAGTAATTTTATGGGAAAAGAGTAGCAGAATATTTAGAATTGAAAGTTCCCTGGAAAAATCAACCAATGTGGATTGGGACTTAGGCTCAAGCCTCTTCTTTATATAGTGAAGCAAATACAGAGAAGCTGATTTTGCAGAAATTGCATTACATTTTTCTTTTATGTAATTTGGTCCCTGCCTACTTGTCAGGTATATTGTATACTATTCTTTTTCTTTACTATCTGTGAAGCCAGGCACACTGGCTTCTGTTTCTAAAACAAGCTATGTTCCCTCGCCTCAGGGTTCTAATACATGATCTTTCCTCTGACTATAATGGTCTTTTTATTTTACCTCTACCCCATGGGGCCCCTTTGCCTTATTAACTCATGTTCTTCTTTCAGGCCTTTAATTAAAGGTTACCTCATTAGAAAGTATTTCCTGATGTTCCACACTCAATGAAAACACCTCTGTTTTATGTTCTTCCATGCACCTATATTTTCATAGTATCTATCAAAATTTATAATTATGTATTTTTTTTGGTTATGAATTACACATGGCTCACTCCATGCTAAGTACCAAGAGGACATAAAAAGTCTCAGTTTTCAATATAGTCTTTAGCAATGATCTTGGCCTAGGGTAATTACTCATCCACTGTCAAATAAATGAACAAATGAGTGGGAAAACATGCAAAACAAAGGTTAGGTTACATGTTGAGTACCCAGGGAAATGTTTTATTATCCTGAATCTATTCCAATTGCTTCCCACAACTTTTACAGCACCAAAAAGTCATGTACATTGAAGGTTCTTTTTATTTTTCCTTGCAGCAATGAGGTAGTTCTTTTTTACTGTTAAGTAAATGGCAAGCAGTGCTTTCTCTGGCGATAATGTGAATCAAAAGAAATCCTTTATATGGTTATGATTTCTGAAATCAGCTAATAATGAGAGAAATAAATAGTTTCTTTGTTTGGAAATATATGGAACTATAATCCAATAGGAAAGAGCACAAATGCTTCGTTTTTAAAATCACAAGTTTTATATACAATCTTTCCCTTTTCTTCAAATGAAATTAGATTTTCTTTTCTGAAAGTGCTGTGGTATGATTGCCCCCTGGTGGCCACTCACGAGGTTTCCACAGTCTATTCTTGCCCACTTCTGGTCTTTTTCTGTAACTTTTTAGATTGAATTAGATTTTTAAACTACCCTTTTTGTGGTAAATTTATTGGTAAAAATATTGAAAACAATTTAATAATATCAGACATCTTAAAAATACTTCTTTAATCCAGTAATTTTCTTTTCAGGGGCCTATTCTGAAGACATAATTCTAAATTCATAAAAAAAACTTTATGTTAGGGGCTGGGAAGGTGGCTCAGTGGTAGAGCGCTTGCCTTGCATGCATGAGGCTGTGGGTTCGATTCCTCAGCACCACATTAAGCAAAAAATAACAAAAAACAAAAAATGCTCACCAAAAAAAATGTTAAAAAATGCTCACCAAAGTAATAATTAGCAATAATTCTAAACAATTATATATCCAATTTTATAAAAATATGGAATTAAGTTAATCACATCTAAGTATTATTATGTGGCTAGTAACATAGAAATCAGATCTTTTTTATTTTCTTTCTTTTTTTCCAGTCACAGGCCTTGAACTCAGGGCCTAGGCACTGTCCCTGAGCTCTTTTGTTCACAGCAAAAGCTATAGTACCACCTCCAGTTTTCTGGTGGTTAAATGGAGATAAGAGTCTCACAGACGTTCCTGCCCCAGCTGTTTTGGAATCTTAATCTCAGATCTCAATCTCCTGAATACCTAGGATTACAGGTGTGAGCCACCAGGGCCCAGCTAGAAATCAACTCTTTATCTTGGGAAAGTTACTTAATCTGTTTCTTTATATATAAATTTTGGTTAATAACAGTAACTGTCTAATAGGTTGTTGAAAAGATTAAATACAATACTTTTTACGTATAATACAGTAAGTCCCCTGCTTATCTTAAGCAATCAATAAATAGTAACTATTAATATATTATCATTAAAATATTTTCAAGAATTACTTATATAAGTACATGAGAATGTGAAAGAAGCAGGATACAAGCTAAAATATTGAAAAGATGTCTTTATTAATAAGTTCATGAAGTTTGGGAGATTTTGCTTCTTCCTTTTCACTTTCTTTGTTGTTTTTTATTTTTATTTTGAAATTTTAAATAGAAAGACCTATAAAGAATATTATAGCAAATACTCATGGACTTACATCTAAAATTAATAAGTATTAACACCTTGGAATTTTGCTCTGTGTTTATATATATGTATATGTGCTTACATATTTGAAATAGAAAGTTTCAAATAAAGTTTGAGACCTTTTTGTATTCCTCCCTAGCCCAATTAAGAATTGAAATTTAACATATAAATAATATGTTCATTATTTTGGTTTTTCAAATCTTTCTTCATTTGTTAGACTATTTTATATCACCATCTCACTGTCCCTTCCCCTTTTTTGGTAACATTTCACTAATAAGGGAAAGAAACAAATAAGAGGGTTTAAGCTATTCTTAGCTCATTTTATAAAATTTCAGTATCTTCCTAGTTTCTTTAGAGTTTACTTGCTTGCCTATGTAATAGTAGTTCTAAGTGTCCTTGAATCTCTGGGGCCTCCAATACAAAGAATGTGAGCTGTACTACCCCTTTGCAGTCCCCTCTTCATGTGTTCTGTTCCTTTGGAGTCTGTTGAGTACCCTGAGTGACAGAGGATTGAGACAGAATATTATTATTAAGCAGAAATTTGCTTCTTCCTTTTCACTTTCTTTGTTGTTTTTTATTTTTATTTTTAATTTTAAATAGAAAGACCTATAAAGAATATTATAGCAAATACTCATGGACTTACATCTAAAATTAACAAATATTAACACCTTGGAATTTTGCTCTGTGTTTATAGATATGTGTATGTGCTTACATATTTGAAATAGAAAGTTTCAAATAAGGTTGGAGACCTTTTTGTATTCCTCTCCAGTCCGATTTTTTTCTCCCTTCCTCTACAGAGAAAAGCAGGCCATAGAATTCTCCTATAGCCTTTCAGTCCCTGTTTAATTGTATTCTGTATTTATTTGCCTAGTATTACTTACTTCTTTTTTTTTTTTTTGCCAGTCCTGGGTCCTAAACTCAGGGCCTGGGCACTGTCCCACTTCTGTTGCTCTAACACTCTACAACTTGAGACACAGAACCCCTTCTGGCTTTTTCTGAGATTAGTTGGAGATGAGTCTCATAGATTTTCCTGTCCAGGCGGCTTCAAACCACAATCCTCAGATCTCAGCCTCCTGAGTAGCTAGGATTACAGGCATTGAGCCACTGGTACCTGGCTAGTATTTTTTTAATTTAAAAACAAGCATTTTTCCATGTTACTTCTGCATTATGTGTTTCAGCCATTGCTGGTTTAATATTTTTAGTTTATTTGTTTAAATACAGAAGCAAAGCTATGAAAATATCACAGTATATGCTTCTATTAATTGATATGGAGGTTATTTTATTTCTAGTTTTACATAATTTGCCTGTTTTATACTATAGTCACCAAGTAACAAGGGCATAGTATGATTCTAACCATGTTCTTCACCTTCCCCTAAGGGGACATCGAATTTACAGATGTGGAAAGCATAAAATTGTGGTGCAGTAGAAACTAAATACCATCCCATCCTTACTACTTTTCCTTATTCTGGTAATTCTTATGTTCTTTTTGTTTCAGCCATGAATTTCAAAAGTTACCATGCTTTCAGGGCAAATTTTAACCTTAAAAAATAATATTCTTCTTTTAGGTGCTTGTTTAAACTGCCAGGAAAATAGCAAAGGGGATCACTGTGAAGAATGCAAAGAAGGATTTTACCAGAGTCCTGATGTCACTAAAGGATGTCTTCGCTGCCCTTGTTCAGCAGTGACATCTACAGGCAATTGCACAATAAGTAAGGCCTTTCTCTAAATCTTCATTTCAGAGCAGGGAAAGTCTGTGAAACCTTCATTGGTAGTTATGAATTTAATTGACAAATTGAGTTCTGGATGTTATATGTGAAAGTAACTTATAAAATCAGAAAACATTTTCCTTTCTAGAAATTTACCATCTAGCCCAAATATATATGCAAAGTAAGACTTAAAATTTCTTTTCTTTTCTTTCCTTTTTTTTGGGGGGGGCGGGGAGAAAGGGAGGTCAATCGTGGTTCTTAAACTCTGGGTCTGACTCTGTCCCTGAGCTCTTCAGCTCAAGGCTAGCCTTCTACCACCTGAGCCACAGCGCCACTTCCAGTTTTTTGGTGTTAATCGGAGATAGTCTCATGGACGTGCCTGCCTGGGCTAGCTTTGAACCACAATCCTCAGATCTCAGCCTCCTGAGTAGCTAGGATTACAGGCATGAGCCACCTGCACCCAGCTGAGATTTAAAATTTCTATAGCCAACACTATAAGTTAAACACAGGAACTTCAAAACTGAACAATTTTTGCTTACCAGTTTCATGGTAACATTCACTAGCTACTTTTTCAAAGGTACCTAATAATATTTACTGGTTGTGTCTATTTAATAATCTCACAAATACAGGTAACTCCTGTTTAATTGATAACAATTAGTTATCTATTGCTGCATGCCCAATTATCTTAAAATGTAACAGCTTAAAACAATAAAGTATTATATCTTTCTTTTTCTGTTAGGAATTTAAGAGCAACCTAAATGGATAGTCCCAATTTGAGATCTTTCTTCTCTTTTCTGACTCCTTTTAAAATATGCATAAAATTCAGCTAAATGAATAATTCAGTGTTTTTGGTATATGATCACAATATTGTACAACAGTTCTTGCAATGATTTTTGAAACATTTACTTGCATTACCTCTCCCCATCAAACAACAACAATAACCAAACACAAAACACAACTCTGAAACCATTTGCAGTCACTCCCATCCCAAGTCAGCTTTAAGTAACCTCTATATGGATTTGCCTCCATATGGATTTGCCTATCCTGAACATTTTATATAAATAGAGTCATATATAGTCCATGTATCCAGCTTCTTTCATATGGTGTAGAATTTTCAAAGTTCAACTCTGTTGTAATGTATATCAATACTTCATCTCTTAATTGTCAAATAATATTCCACTCTCTGAATCTCAATTTTTTTCTATTCATTTGTCAGTTGATGGACATTAGAGTTGTTTTCACTTACTAGCTATTATAAATAATGTTTCTCTAAGCATTGGTGCTCACAGTTCTACACATATAGAGGTATTAATTTCTCTTGAGTGTACCCTAGCAGTGGAATAGCTGGGTTATATATACCCACTGTCTGCTTAACTCTGCAAGGAACTGTCAAACTACTTTCCAAAATGAGTACACCATTTTATATTCTTATTTTTACTTATTTGTCTGAGGATTCTAAATTGTCTGAAGGTTCAAAGCCATCATGGGCAGGAAAATCTGTGAGACTCTTATCTGCAATTAACCACCAGAAAACTGGAAGTGGCACTGTGGCTCAAGTGGTAGAGCACTTGCCTTGAGCTGAAGAGCTCAAGGACAGCACCCAAGCTCAGAGTTCAAGCTCCACAACCAACACCAACAAAAAAAAATTAAAAACTTTAGAAAACTTATAAAAATATGATTTGTAAATATCTGCTTCGGTTGTATGGCTTGACTTTTTAGTTACTTAAGTCCTTTGCAGGTGAAAAGTTTTACATTTTAATGATTTAATATGTTTTATTGTTCATATTGGATGGGATTTCTCATGCAGTTGTAATCAGCCAAAACAATAGCCAGAGCTGTACTCAGTAGTCTGAAGGCTTAATTGGGACTGTAGAAATCTGCCTTTTTTTGGGTTGGTCGTGGGGGTTGAACTCTGGGCCTGAGCACTGTCCTTCAGCTCTTCACCTCAAGGTGAGTGCTCTACCACTTGAACTACAGCACCACTTCCGGTTTTCTGGTGGTTTATTGGAGATAAGAGTTTCACGGACTTTTCCTGCCCAGGCTGGCTTTGAACCGCGATCCTCAGATCTCAGCCTCCTGAGTAGCTAGGATTACAGACGTGAGCCACTGGAGCCTGGCTTAGAAATCTGCTTTTAAGATGGTTTACTTACACAGCTTGATGGAGCCAAAAGGCTCCTATTACTTGCTATGTGGACCTCTTCTTCCAGGTACATACATGTCTTTCCAACATAGTAGCTCGCTTCTTCTGCAAATGAATAATCCGAGAGAGAATGAGAGAGAAACTGCAATGTATTTTGTAATCGTCTCTGAAATCATAGAGGTTTCATAATACCCCATAGTCGCACATGCCTATCCTATTGAGTGTGGGAGTGGACTCCATGAGATACGAATAACAGGAGGCAGGGAGCATTTGAGACCATCTTGGCTGCCATCCCTGATGAGGAGAACTAGTATGTCCCTCTTTCCAAAATGAATGAAATTTTGGGCTGGGAATGTGGCCTAATGGTAGAGTGCTTGCCTGCATGAAGCCCTGGGTTCAATTCCTCAGTACCACATAAACAGAAAAAGCCAGAAGTGGCACTGTGGCTCAAGTGGTAGAGTGCTAGCCTTGAGCAAATGAAGCTCAGGGACAATGCCCAGGCCCTGAGTTTCAGCCCTAGGACTGGCAAAAAAAAAAAAAAAAAGTTAAAAAATTAATGAAATTTTTATTTATTTCACAAATAATAATTGAGCATTGTGCTACCAAAGGAAATAAAAGTAAAAAACAAAGGAATCTGCAGTGTATCATAGAGGAAAATACATAAATAAAGCATTGAATATAGCAAATGTATTTATGGGGCAAAATAAGACACAAACTAGTAGAAAAGAAAACACAAAAAGCACATATTAAGAGTAGCAAATGGGGTCTGGGAAGGTGGCTCAGTGGTAGAGTGCTTGCCTTGTATGCAATGAAGCCCTGGGTTCAATTCCTCAGCACCATATAAGTAGAGAATGCTGGCGCTGTAGCTCAAGTGATAGAGTGCTAGCCTTGAGCTGAAGAGCTGAGGGACAGCGCCAAGGCTCAGAGTTCAGGCCCTACAACGGACAAAAAAAAAAAAGTAAAAGTAGCAAATATACTTATATGGCATAATAGAATACAAAAGAAGAATGTTCTCTTGTACCTGGGATTGTGTGTTATGAAATTTTTTGTAAAAGAAGTGATACTTTAGATAACATATTACTTATCACTATATATGTAGCTGTTTGCTAATTACTTAGGATATTAGAAGGACTATGTGAAAATATTCATATTTTGAATAATAATATGGAAAATTAATATTTCAATCTATATCCAAAGTATCAAAATTCTAGTTTTGGAACACATTGATTGTATTAAGCAGTTTAAGATTTTAGAATTTCATAGGAATTTATTTTATTTGTTTTTTGTTTTTTGGTTTTTTTTTTGGGTCCGGTCGTGGGGCCTGAACTCTGGGCCTGGGCGCTGTCCCTCAGCTCTTCAGCTCAAGGCTAGCGCTCTACCACTTGAGCCACATTGCTACTTCCGGCTTTTTTTCTTTTTGCTTATGTGGTGCTGGCGAATCGAACCCAGGGTCTCAGGCATGCAAGGCAAGCACTCTACCACTGAGCCACCTTCCCAGCCCTTCATAGGAATTTAAATAAGAACTTTGGAGTCCTTGACTCATCTAGAGTATTGTTTGTTTTGATCATAGGACCTGATTTAAGATATTTGACTTATAAAGGATTTCTGAATAAACTTGATAAACTTTCTTGAAGAAGATGCCTATAAAATGAATATGGCTGGGCGCTGGTGGCTCACACCCGTATTCCTAGCTACTCAGGAGGCTGAGGATCGCAGTTCAAAGCCAGCCTGGGCTGGAAAGTCCGTAGACTCTTATCTCTAATAAACCACTAGAAAACTGGAAGTGGCACTGTGGTTCAAGAGGTAGAGTGCTAACCTTGAGCTGAAGAGCTGACGGACCGCTTAGGCTCAGAGTGCAAGACCCATGACCAACTGGAAAAAAGAAAATATATGCTTGAAATCCTTGTTCTCATCTGCCCTTTCCAATGACTACAGATTCCACAAGGGTAGAGACCATGTCTGTATATTTAATGATTTTATTCCTATTCCCATATGTTGAATGAGTAGAAAGGGAGATAACAATACTCAGGGTAGAACATGGTTAGAACTGGAGCTGTGAGAGCTTGAGGGAAGAAGGATAATTTCCTACTGGGAAGTATAGAAAAGTAGTCATAAAGCAAGTAACATACAAACTGGGCCTTGAAGATTGAGGACTTGAACATCTAGCAGTGTGTCTATGTAGCGGTGAGTGGGAGATCAAAGCCAAAGGCTGAATAGGGATCTGACAAGTACAGTTTGGTCAGTATGTAAGTGGTCTAAAATACATTGCGCTTACACTGCAGGGTAGGGGTAAGAGGTACCCCACTGAATCAGAGATTTGACCCTTTCAGAATTAACCATTTCTGATGCAGAAAAATACAGATTAGTGCACCACAGTGTGATGGGTCTATGCATGGTGGATGCTCCATGAGAGAACACTCTTCCAGCCTGGGGGATTATCGAGAGGAGGTAATAGTCCTGTGATGAGAGTCAGAATTTAGTGGGGGACAAAAGGAAGAATATTTTTTTAGGTAAAAAATCAATAAGAGCAAAGAAACAGAAATGTTAAAATAGACAGTCTGATTTTTAAAGTCTTATTAAAAACACAAAGTCACCAAGTGGCAGTGGCTCACACCTATAATTCTAGCTACTTGGGAGGCTAAGATCTGGGGATTGTGGTTCGAAGACAACCCAGGCAGGAAAGTCTATGAGACTCTCATCTCTGATTAATCACCAAATAGCAAGAAATGGAGCTGTGACTTAGATGGTAAAATGCTAGTCTTGAGCAAACTAGTTCAGGGACAGCGCCTAGGCACTGAGTTCAAGCAAAAAACAGGAAAACAGGGGCTGGGAAGGTGGCCCAGTGGTAGAGTGCTTGCCTTGCATGCCTGAGGCCCTAGGTTTGATTCCTCAGCACCACATAAGCAAAAAGAAAAAAGCCAGAAGTGGCGCTGTGGCCCAAGTGGTAGAGTGCTAGCCTTAAGCTGAAGAGCTGAGGGACAGCGCCCAGGCCCAGAGTTCAGGGCCCACAACTGGACCCCCCCAAAAAAACAAAAAAAAAAACAGGAAAACAAAGTTATTTCTAATAAGGGAGAAAGAATGAAACAGGGATTTTGAATGCCATATCACAAACACCAATGAGTCTGAATTTGATAGCCATAAAAGCCTTTGACAAATCTTGATTTCAGATCTTCAATCTATTTCATCAGGATTTTTCCAAATAATTATTATTACTGTAGTAGTTGAACTCCAGAATTCTATAATTCTATACCATTATAATGTGTAAGTTCCTTGAGAACAGAAATATAAGCCTCTTGTTAAGTATTTTCTGTGTGTCAGCATTTGCATGGGTTATGAACGTATTCAGTTGTCATCAGTTGCTAGAGACAACTTAAGTATTTCTGGCTTAAACCCTTTATTTGGAATATGGAAAATTGAGGTTCAGAGTTCAGTAAGTTACTTGAGATCACACTATCAACTACAATCAAAAATGGTAAGTTGAAGTTCTTTATCAGATATAAATTCTATGAGTATATTAAAAAAACCGTTGACACATATTTCAGTGTATATGAGGTGAATTATATTTCAAAGCTGTTAAAATAATAGTAAAATAGACAACAAGGATTCATTATTTTATAAAGACCATCAAAGATGTGTTGAATTGCTACAAGTTTCATGACCCATGTAAATTATCTCTTTTGTAATAATTATGTGTTCAGATAACAAGATTGTTCAGATTTTGTAATTGGAGATTATAAGAAAGGAACTAGTAAACTTGGCAAATAAAATTATGGTTTTTGCCATTAAAAACACTTATAAAATCTCATTGAGAATCTCAAAATCATATGAAAATTTTTTAAAGGAGCAAATAACTATGGGTTGGTTCCCACTATATATGATGAAATTATTCACTTAGCAGGCATTTATTGAGCATATACTTTTTATCTGGCACTATACTAATCATTAGCGATAAAGATGGAGACAATAAATAGGTCATAGTATAGTAGGAAAGATAGACAAGTACTCAGGTAATTACAATTAGAATTATGTGTTACAGGTAAGCATCGAGTAACCCTAACCCAAATGGGGAATAAAGCACAAACTTTTGTGCTTCTGAGAAGCAAATGGTATCTAAATTAATTCCTATTGTCTGATTTATCAAGTTCAACTGGGGATAGGGAGGCAGGAGAATATTCCTAGAAGAGGAAGAAGTATGAACAAAAACTCAGAGAGAAGAATGCAGGCAATCTTTGGGAGGACACTAAAGCCATTTATGTGCTTGCACCGTAGAGGGTGGTGGAATGTGAGGTGAAGGGAGAAGAGTTGGAAGAGGTCAGTAAGGGTTCAATTATGAAGGCTACTGAAAATTCTGTTTAATTTTCACTTAATTCTGAAGACATTAAGATTTGAAGAGCTGTCTCTAGAAAAGCACTATGCTCAGATTTACTGTGAAGATCATAGGGGTGCAATGCAGACCTATTAGGAAGAGACCTATGAGACAGTGTTGTCAGTGTTCTAGATGAGAAACGATGAAAGCCAAAACTAAGATCACTATGGTAAGATGGAGGGAGATCTGTAGTGGAAAGATCTTAATGAAGTATGATTGATATGAATTACTAAGTTCTTAGAAGTGGAGGGAGGGAAAGGAGGGCTGGAGGTGTGGCTTAGTGGTAGAGCAATTACCTAGCAAGCCTAACAAATGCAAGGCTCTGAGTTCAAACCCTAGTACTGCAAAAGGGGGGAAAAAGAAGTGGAGGTGGGAAAAAGAGTATTGAGAGATGACTCTTAAGTTTTTGGCTAGATGTTAGAACCATTCACTGAAACATAGGGAACACCGGAGGGGAGGACAGGACTGAGGAAAGGACAGCTGTTTCTGTTGTTTAAAATTGGATTCACATAATATAGACAGTATATAATTTGAAATTTAATATAGTGAAATGGACTAGCAAGGCCCATTTTGGAATTGTTGATCATGTGGGCGGATAAGCTAATCTCTGGAGACTGAGCAGAGTGAAAATGAAGGAGACCAAGAGTATCAATATGTAAGTAGGAGAGGGGGAAAGGGAAATTTTGTTAAAGCATTGTTTTGTACAATTAGTCATGTCTGAAAATGAAGGAATAAAAAGGTTATGCAAGTATCAACCCATCATAATTATTCTGACTCCTGGTGTAAGCATATATATATATATATATATATATATATATATATATATATATATATATACATATATATATATATATATAGCCTTCTACCTAAATAGTTTCTCTGGCCAATCTTATCATTCCTATATGCCTGAAAATTAGACCATAAGCTATAAATTATTAGTTAAATTTCATGTCTTTTAATTTCATGTCTCTTAAGAGAGTTTATAAATGGGTTTAAGGACTAGGACGTGTTTTGCATTTTTAATTGTGGTCTGAGACTTTACTAAATTATTTTGGTGCTCTCTTTCTTTTAGAATTGGATGAATTGGAACCTACATGTGTCCAGTGTAAAGATGGTTACACAGGCAAGAACTGCAATACATGTGGAAATGGCTATTACAATTCCGACAGCATCTGTATGCCATGCCAGTGTCATGGCCATGTGGATTCAATTAAAACTCCAAAGATTTGTAAGCCTGAGAGCGGTGAGTGCATCAACTGCCTTCACAACACCACTGGGTTCTGGTGTGAGAACTGCCTGGAAGGTTATGTCCGAGATCTCCAGAGAAACTGCATTAAGAAAGGTAAACTTTACCCAAGATTGCAAATTTATTATCAAAGGGCTAGCACTGAAAATTTCAGGACAGCTGCATTTAGCTCTCTAACACCTTCCAATTCTACCAGAGGAGTTTCTGGAAATGTATTTTCATAGATAATTGCCTGAAGAGGTTTCCTTTTCTTTCTGCTTCTCTCCCAATACTGGAAAGTCAACTCCAGAAATTTGAGGACCAAGACAAAGTCATTGAGACAGTGAGACCAAGGGTTCTCACATTTTACCTTCATCAATTTTTATGTTAATGATTTAAAAGTACTATCATTTCTTTTTACCTTTTGCTTGCTTTATTCTCATCACCTTTAGTAATCATCAAAGGTCTTCTCAAGATGGGACCTACAGTCTTACTAGACATTCCAGTTGGTAAACTAGAGTTCATTCTAGCATCTGTTCTTACTTTGAATATGTTAGTATTAGTATTAACATTTCTTTTGATTTTTAAAAGAAAAGGTTATTTACATGAACAAATTCTTATAAGGAAGTTAAGAAATATTTAGAAATAATTGTGATTATAAATTCACGGTAGGGCTGGGTGCTGGTGGCTCACTCTTCTACATTTAACTACTCAGGAGGCTGAGGTCTGAGGACCTCAGTTCAAAGCTAACAAAGGGCATAAAAGTCTGAGACTCTTATCTCCAGTTAATCATCAGAAAGACAGAAATGAAGCTGTGACTCAAGTGGTAGTATGATAGCCTTGAGAGAAAAAGCTAAGGGACAGTACCTAGTCACTGATTTCAAGCCTCAGTATTGGCATTTCCCCCAAAAAAAGTTTTTTTAAAAATCCAAATTAATAATATTCAGTGTATTTGTTCACAGAAGAATGAGTCCTTGCTCTCCCACAAATCACATGTTGACCACCAGTCAGCATGTGATCCTTATCCTTAATGGTTGAGTCCTATCTCAAGCTAGAGATGCTGGCACTCAATTTCTTTACCATTTTGGTTACTTTGTCCATACCAAGGTCTGCCTTGTCAGCAGACAGGGCTGTGATTATTTTTGTTAGTTCTTTAATATACATTTTACCTCTTTTCTGATAAATTGAGTTGGCTGGCTATGATGTTGAATTATAACAACAATATTTTATTGAGTACTTAATATACACCAAGCATTAAATCTGATCCTTCTCTAAGAACTCTTCAAGATAGACTTTATTATTCACATTAATGAATGAGGAACCTGAGATTTAGAAAGATTCATTTATTTATAGCAACACAGAGTCCAAAATCTTTGGTGTACCCCCCTCCAACTATTCTGTCACTGGAAGTATAAAGTTAGTACCTTAATTACAAAGTAGCTGTAATCTATCAAAGGAAGATTCGTATTTATGGAATTAAAGGAAAGCTGTTATCTCTCTTGGCTAACATCAACCTTGAATGCTTAAATTAAAATACAATTTTTTCTGTACTTTCTTTGAGGAAAATTTTACCTTACTAAGATGTTATTAGACATGTTGGACTTATTTTAGTTCCATCTATCCCTGTCACTTTTAACCATGTGATTTAAAACTCAGTAATGATATACTTATCATCCTTACAAGAATTTGTATGATTTCATGAGTAATGAAGAATGGAAAACTCCAACACTGGAATTATCTGAGGATTTCAGTGTAAATATTATTCATATTGGACAGCTATAAGTATAATAAGCTAGCTTTCCATACCACAATTCTTACCACTGTAGTTCTTTTAAAATTATTTTAAACTTGCCTTAACACAGGATGCCATGTCAACATCCTACATCAACTTCCACTCTCATGTGTATTTCTTTCGTTGTTTCTGAAAACTAGATAATTTTGACTTTTACATTTCATTCTCTGTTTTTATTTTCAGAAGTTATTGTTCCAACACCTGAAGGTTCTACCATTTTGGTTTCCAATGCCTCTTTGACCACATCAGTGCCCACCCCTGTTATAAATATTACCTTTACCCCCACATCCCTGCAGACTACCTTTTCAGTAAGCTCCTCTGAAAACAGCACTTCAGCCTTAGCTGATGTATCATGGACCCAATTTAACATCATCATTTTGACAGTCATCATCATTGTGGTGGTGCTGCTGATGGGATTTGTGGGGGCGGTATACATGTACCGTGAGTACCAGAACAGGAAGCTCAATGCCCCCTTTTGGACCATCGAGCTGAAAGAAGACAATATCAGTTTCAGCAGCTACCATGACAGCATTCCCAATGCAGATGTGTCGGGATTGTTGGAAGATGATGGCAATGAAGTGGCTCCCAATGGGCAACTGACCCTGACGACACCCATACATAACTACAAAGCCTAAGGAGGTAGAGCTGTTCTCCTGGGTTGTTTAAACCACAGTGCTTATTAAAGCAGCATCACCCTCTGAGCCAGACAAAGCCTGGGCAGAGTTTGCTGAGAAAGGCAAATAGTGTACCTGAACTCGTCAGGTACAAATGCAATGTGCTTAACCTATCTGTTGCTCTTAGTTTCCCATGAAGATCTGAAGGATTCATGTCATTAAGGACTTAAAGTAAAGTATATTTTTGTATCAAACCACATGGGAGTATGGAAAGGCTGAATCTCGTAGTGCAGCCCAAATCCACTTGGATCTCCAAATAGACCATTGGAGGTACTCATCTCACAGCAGGGTGGAGGGCAAATGGACTGCTGCAAGACTTCATCTCCATTCCTGGAACATGTTATGTTTAAAGGAGGAGCAGGGACTATATTCATTGTACCATGCAAAAAGACACAATGGAAGAAAAGCTGGTGTCTAGGCTGGATTATAATAAACAATCTTGATTGTATCTAGACTAGGGTCAGAAAGGTCCCTAGGTGATCTTTAGGGCTTGATTTCTTTTTTTTCCTCCTAGGATTCTCACTGGGTAGTGAGATTAAAGCACAGGACAAGCTTCTAATGGTGAAGGCAGCATTGAGGGAGCAGAAAGCTGATGGTCCTCCTCAGGGGCTCAGTGTAAATGATAAGTTATCTAAAAATAAGGAATATTCCTGCCTCTCTAAAAATAAGGACTATTCCGGTCTCTAGAAAAATAAGGTGTACATAGTTAATGTAGCATATCTGGTCAACATTGTATTTGTATCTATTTGTAAAAAAATCATGTCATATTTTATCATCTAGAATTTATTTGTACAGCAGCTAAATGGTGTTGTAAAAAGGAAATATGGGGGTTGGCTAAAATACTGTAAAATAGGTGGCAATATTGCTAGAGCTGGGACTCTGGTGAGCATCAGTCATTTTTAGTCCCTCTTTGGACCTTGTTGAAATTTATAAGAGGTTGAATGTTTCTAATTTTTCTTTCCTCTCTCAACCTAAAAGTAGAGCTGTGTGCTCTTTACCTTACTGTAGATTCAAGCAATAGATTTTGAAGTTAGTAATTGTTAAGCTAGGACAAAGACTTCATTCTCCAAAACTGTTACCTAACTATACACTAGTCATTCTAAATGTTTCACATAGATTGCTGTAAAACATTCCTCATTAAAATATTTTTCCTGAATGTAAAAGATAGTCTTCCAAAAGATAGAAATATTTGAGTTCCAAAAGAAAAGCCATCATATCACACGTTTTCATGCCTGTAAAACATTTTTATCCTTCCATACCCCAAAATAACTCATGTCCTACATTTGAACATACCCTATCACTGATTTGTCATGAGAGATGTCCCATTTTCTTCAATGCTTCAGTTTTTCCAGCTTCTTGGCTGGTTAGCGGGTAGCTCTGTAGTTGGGTGTGTATAGCTAGTCCTTTCTTTCAGATGCAGGTTTTCATTTCCCAGATACCAATTGCTATTGCTCTCATCTTTTACGATATTGACATGTAGATTAAGCACACCAAGAAAGGTAGCCAGAAGTTGAATATAGATATTCAATATATTTAAGAGGAAGAACGACAAACTGTGAAGTGGTCAGGAAAAAGAGCAAAGACTGCTTACTAGATTGGATAGACTGGACCCAAGGAATCCAAATTGGCCTGCTTACCTAACTTCCTCAGGGAAACAAACAAACAAACAAATAGAATTTGGTCCCTTTCTTATAGAACACCCCCAAGTTGGTCCCAGAGTTTGGAGATGATGTCCTTGAGGATGTGTTGGCAGATAATCTGCTTCAAGTTAACTTGAAGGCATTCTGCATATTTGACTATTGCCCACAAGAGTAGACATTGTGTTACATTATATTAAAAAAAATTCTTAAGGGCTAGAGATACAGCTCTGTGCTACAGAACTCTTGCATGTGTGAGGCCTTAGGCTCAATCCCAGCATCACACACACAAAAATCAATATGTGTATTGCCCTTTCTAGTTTACAAAACACTTTTCTATGTACATCCTTAGTTTATTCTATCTCTCCTCTGAGGAAGTAATTTTTACTCATTTTATAGATGTGAAGACTGAGGCACAGAAGGGCTAAATGTGTTGCTCTGTGACACACAATGTGTGTCAATATTAGGCTTCAAATTTGGACTCCCAGTTTTGCAGCGTATAGTCTTTTTGACTGTGCTAATGCAGAAATTGCCCAGCCATAAACACAAGAAGACTGGGAGGAAGAGGCCCCAGTGTGGATGTAACTATGAGGTGCAATTCAGGGTCACAGAGCCATGAAAGATTATGAGGAGAAAACACACACACACACACACACAGGAGAATTCTTATCTAAAGCCACTATTAGTGATACAAAACAAAAAACAAAGTCCAGTTATGCTTTGCTAACGTGAGTTAATCCCTCCAAGCAGGGGGAAACTTGCTTTCTCAACAGTTGCTGCTTAGGTGGTATATACTGTTCTAAAGGATTATGCAAAGTAGCATAGCCTTTCTCCCTAATACCTCACCCTCTGGGGAAAAAAAAAAGGTCAGGATTGAGGATGATGGGAAATAAACATTTGTTAAAAACAAGTTAACTCAATAAAGACAGAGGAGTGTTTATTGGGATCCAAAAGCCAAAGCCAAAATAGAGTTCTGACTATGCAGAGGTTCCTTGAAACAAACCTGAAAAGATAATGCTAAAGTTACATCACACAGAACGTTTATATTTAAATACTTGCTAACTTTAACTTCACCTCTTAGGTCATATTCGTAATTTTTCACCATGGTGGGAAAACTAAGACCTTTGTACTTGTTTAAAATAATATTTCTTAATGACCTCAGCTTTTTGCTTGTGGAATAATTTTGTTCTAAGTATAAATCATGCGTTGCTCTACCCTTGAAGTCAGATGAGAAAACTGGTATGAAATCCCCTGCACAATTTTCATTCCTCTGAAGCTATCCCTTGAAAGATGGCATCCAGCGGCCGAACCCCATCAGTCCTCTAGAAAGCCTAATATTGGAAGAGTTGTAAGGGTTAGAAATACATTTGTTAAAGAAATACCCATGTGAATCTTATCAAGAAATGACAGTTAATGCTATTAAATGATACTTTTGTCTTCACTAATTCATTTTAGTAAACCCTTACGCATTTTTAATTAACCCATTTTAGTAAACCCTTATGTATTTCTGATAGATGTTTTAGGTAGCATTAAATAGGTCTTTGTACTCCCTCACCTCGCTCTTCCCCTCTCCATTTTCTACTTTCCAGGGTTCTTTTTATTAATGGAATTTCTCCAGCTATACAGAAAAAAAATAAGTAAAAACTCTCATATGTACCAGAGTCCTATGGACTTAATGAATTACTTTTTCCATGGATACCTGGGTTTTAGGAGAGAACAGAGCAGACATGGAATGAGAGGATAGAGATTGGGTGGGGGTAAGAGGAGCAGAATTTGTATAAGCTTCAAATTATAGGGCTGTTCTCTAGTCCCAGTATTTCCAGGATAAGTGACTACTAAGCAATACTCAGTGATCTACTAGTTCATTTGGGTCAACTGCGTACCTTCAAGATATTTAGCCCTTGACTGAAGAAATGGCTCAAGTGGTAGAGCACCTTCCTACTAAGTACAAGACCCTGAATTCAGACTCCAGTTTTTAGCCCTTACGCTGTTCTGGAATCAGAGAGCTGAAGCAGCCATACTTCCTCTTGTTAGATTTTGATCGAACACAGGTTGTTAGATCATTTGCCTTGGTTCTATACCTATTGTAGGATAATATTCATACATGTGATAATATTTATACATGTGAACTTGTCATGACTTACAATAAATATTCCCTGATTTTTATATTTTGAGGTAAGTTAGGTAGGAGTTGAATTTCACATCACAAGGGAAGTTCTCTGACAAAATATTAAAAGGAGTAAGAAGCAAACCAGTGTGACCTGTTAGAGCTAAGAAAGTCTTTCTGACCTTCTCCACAAAAGACCTTTTGGTCTGTTAAGATCTTGCTAGTGAAGAGTTTAAGAGCTAAGATAGGTTTGGTTTGTGCTGGAGTGTAATAGGAAGTGAATGCATTTTTCTCTTGAACCCTGAGCCAGTGACTATGCCAAGGGGAAAAGCAGGAAGAACATACTGATTCATCTAAAGAAATCAAATAATATCAAATGTTGAAGGTTATGATCACTGAAATGTCAGTGGTTTCGAATGTTGCTTTTTCAAAGGCAGCTGGGAATCTTTTTGTGTTGTTGTTGCTAATGTACATGCACTAACTGTAGCAGCAGTCCTAGGGTGGGAGCCCAGGGCTTCAGATTCAAGTTAGTCTAAAAGCTAAATGATTTAAAGTCAAGTTTTAATGCTAGGCACAAGCACTCTGTAAGAAGTTAAAACTTAGCCCAAGCAATTATGGAATGTTTCTGAAACAATAAACTTATATTTATGTCACTAAAATTCTAACACAAATTAAAAAAAACATGTCTCATACATGCTCTTCTAGGCTTCATGATGCATTTCTAAATTTGTGTATGATTTGAATATATGAAAGAATTTATACAAGAGTGTTATTTAAAATTATTAATAAATGTATATAATTTGTACCTATTGTAGATTTGTTTCATTTATTTTTGTGGTGGAGTAATTAGACATACATATGCTCATATGTATATATAAACAGGGGCTAAAGATCATTTTTTATCAACTCATTTCATGGAAATCTTTAAATATTTCATGCATTAACCATCTATTTTGTTTCAGATCATTTCTTGTCACAAAGCAACATCTGAGAAGAAAACATGTTGACGTACATCCTTGGGCTGGGATGTAGATCAGTGGTAGAGCATTTGCCTAGTATGCACTAAGACCCTGCACTGCAAATAAAAATAAATGAGCAATAACATAGTCTTGTTTATGCTTTTGCCTATCCTGTATGAAAATCTGTTGAAATTTCATGAAAACTTTATGGAAAAAACTTACTCCCTTTGGGATTCTTTGTCTCACAATGTAAGAATTTCCTTTCTTTGGTGGAAATCTGGAAGTAAACCACATTCTTTCTGCTTATTGGAAACCCATAGATATAGTGCATCTGTTATTATTTTAAGGTACTTTTGACAAAGCTAAATGATGTTTAATATGATGCCATCTAGAGAGCTAAGGGATGCTCTGAAAAAGGTGACTAGGCCAAACATTTTTTTTGTTGAATGTTTATAAACTTCAATTCATTTATTCTCCTTCAGTTGGTTAATGTTTAAATTTTGAAACTAGGGTTTATAATCATGCCTTATCTATTTAACATATACTTCAGTGATGTACCTAAATTGGGTTATATCACCCTAAGGAACAACATGAATAATAGTGTCAGAAATCCAAACAAATTGATTTTCAAAGAAAAGTGTGTATGTGTGTGTGTGTGTGTGTGTGTATATATCACACCAAGCAGAAATAATTATAAACGTAACGTTATTAGAATATAACTTACATTATTCATACTTTTGATAAACCTATCTGGTAAAGACTTTTACAGTAAGTTTGCTTTATTTATATATTTATTACACGTTATTTTGGCCAAACATTAACAAATTCAAAAGAAATTTCAAAAATAAGTTTTAAGTTTCCACGTTCAGTATGCAGTTCAGTTGATGCATCATCATCAGTTGTGTTTAAATTGTATGATCTGCTGAATAGTTTCCTGTCCTTAATTTTGAAAACTCTTCTTCCCTCCAAAAAAAAAAAATCAAATGGAGCCTTAAGATGAAAGTAAAAGTATAACAATCCTCTTCCCATGTAATTGTAACCTCTCTGTACAGGATGTTCACAATAAAAAATTTAAAAAACAATCCTCCTAAGCTAATAAAAGGCATATTCAGAACTTAAAGAGGTCATGTGAAAGGCAGCATGTCTTTAGTAGCAGTTCAGCAGCATTATGGGAAAAATGAATCAAACATCTGTAATATTTGAGATAGGGAATATGAAATAGGATCCAGGTTTTGATGGCCAGTATTAATTAATATATATAGCAATAATTTTGTTAAGGCCTACTCCATATAGTTTTAAGTTATGGATGTTCAAACCTATTGCACATATTGGTATAGATAAATTTGAAATTTTTTGTTGTTGTTGGTCGTGAGGCCTGAACTCTAGGCCTGGGTGCTGTCCCTCAGCTCTTCAGCTCAAGGCTAGCACTCTACCACTTGAGCCACAGCGCCACTTCCAGCTTTTTCTGCCTATGTGGTAATGAGGACTCGAACCCAGGGCCTCATGCATATAAGGCAAGCACTCTACCTCTGAGCCACCTTCCCAGTCCCAAATTTGAATAATTTTAGAATACTGAATTTTATGCATCCTTAGCATGCTTGGATTTTTTTCTCACCAGCAGTCTCCTTGAAACCATATATCTGTGAATACAAAGGGTCTACTTTAGTAGACTGCATTATTAAAGTTGATGGTATTCATTTTCTGTAGGAGTATGAGACACATTTTTTAAAAAGTGTTGCATGCTCTATTATGGTTAAATCAGAAACATCATAGTAATCTTTGCACCTTATTTTATTTTATTATTTTATTTATTGCAGTTTTGGGAATCACACCAGGGCTTTGTGCATGATAGGTAAGTGTTCTGCTGTTCAACTCTATCCCCAGCCACTGTTTAGTTATATTTTAGAAACTAAACTAAACGAAAAAAACTTTTGAGATGATTTTATCGGGAGAATTCACCAACAGGCTAAGTAAATGTTAAAAATCAAAGTTTTACCTAGGTTTTACCTAAGTAGGCTACCTACTTAGGTTTTCAAAGCAATTTTAATGAAAATATTATACAGTAATTATTTTCAGGCTTTCTAATATTTCTGTTTCCAAAATGAAAGTTATCTGACTGTGAAGTTCAAAATGTATTGCTTCACAATGTGCTTGAACATTGAATTTCAGATAGTTTTAAAACACAAGAAAAATGTTTTCATTGTATGTTACAGAGGGAAAATTATTATGAATGCCACAATCATCAAAAGTATAGTAAGAGAAACTTATACCAACAAAGTTGATGACTTAGGTGAAATGTAGATTCCTTGAAAGACTGCCATGCTCACTCAAAAAGAAATAGATAACCTAAACAGTCCTACACCTGTTATAGAAATTGTAACAAAAACCTGACTTCCAGAGAGTTTGACTGGTGAATTGTAGAAATACTTAAAAAAGAGGTATTACCAATTCTAGACACTTTCAGAAAAACTACAGAAAAGACAATATTCCCCCAACTAATTCTACTAGACCAGGATTGCCCTGAGACAAAAATCAGATAAAGACATTTGCCAAAAGACATATGTATATTTACATATTCCTCATGAATATAGGAAAATTTTTAAGAAAATATAAACAAATGGAACCATACATAGAAAAATAGTGCTTCGTGGCCAACTGAGGTTTATGCTGTGAATATAAAGTTGGTATAATATTTGAAAATCAATGACCCCAGCTCCTAAAGATTTGAAATTGCCTAGTAATAGCTTTAGGAGCATCTTTCATATTAATACCTGATATGTGTCTCTGGCTTCTGAAATAGCTCCAATTTAATAAAGGTGAAAAGAATATCTTCTGTAATTCATAGCAAGCTGTTGTTAACCAGACCTGAGTTAATAAGAGGACTTTTGGAAAGTCAGAAGATAGGGTACTGGCTGCTGAGAAAGAACCAGCCACATGATTAGAGGGTTGAAACTTTCAGCCTATCCCCTAAGAGAGGAGAAGGGCTGAGATTGAGTCATCATGCCTCTGTAATGCAACCTCCATCAAAACTAACTGGAAGGGCCTTGCAGAGCTTCAGGTTGGTGAACAAACATGGAGTTGCTGGAGATGATGCACCAAGAGAGGGCATGAAAACTAACCCCTTACTTTGCACTTCACATCTCTTCTACTTGGTTGTTCCTGAGTTGTATCCTTGCTACTAAAGAGGTAAATATAAGTGAAATGTTCTCCAGATCCTGCAATCTACTCAAGCAAATTGTCAAAACAAGAGGAAGGAATTGTAGGAGTTCTCAATTTGTTGTCAGAAGCCCAGGAGGCCTGGACTTTTGATTGGAATCTGAAGTGGGACAATCTCCTGGTACTGTGCCTCGAGCATATGGGTTCTGATGCTATCCTCCAAGAACATAGTATTGGAATTTCATTAAATTGTAGGAATGTCCTGTTATCTCCCCACTCCCAGGGTCAATGTTGATAAATGACTAAGTGAATCATGGGAAAAGATGGTAATGATGTACATATATACTGCAGACTTTGAGTTGGTACCAGCTTAAATAACAACAACAAAAAAGTAGACTGAACTGGGTGCCAGTGGCTCATACCTATAATTCTAGCTACTCAGGAGGCTGAGATCTGAAGATAGTGGCTCAAAGGCAGCCTGGGCAGGAAAGTCCATGATGCTCTTATCTCCAACCAGATGTGGTATCTCAAAGTGATAGAGCACTAGCTTTGTCCAAAAAACTTAGGGACAGTACCCAGGCCTTGAGTTCAAGCCCCATGACCACCACCACCAACAACAAAGCAGGGTGCCTGTGGCTCACACCTGTAATCCTAGCTACTCAGGAGGCTGAGATCTGAGGATCGCACTTCAAAGCCAGCCCAGGCAGGAAAGTCCGTGAGACTCTTATCTCCAATTAACCACTAGAAAACCATGGTAGAGTGGTTGCCTTGAATTGAAGAGCTAAGGGACAACGCCCAGGACCAGAGTTCAAGCCTCATGACTGACCCTCCCACCCCCATCCCTCCAAAAAATTATCTGGGAAGTACCAAGTCATGTGTAAGTAGGAATGTTTGCGAATGACAGACCCTGGGAACATACAATGCAAAATCCTCTCTGGTGCAATGATGCTGACCAAGCTCATTTGGTCCATGCTGAGGCCTCACTCACAGTCTGGACTGCTGATCCTCATACCCTGCAGCCCCTGTCTGAAGGGTAGGAAGCAACTATCTGAAATTTGACACTTAAGGTGCCTTCTCTTTCTTGTTCTTATTTTTAGTAGCTGGCAAAACCAACAGGCTACATCTTAGCATCTCAGCTTTTTTAATCCTCCTCCCAACACACATTTTTACTAAATGAGCCATTGTGGTCTTTAATCACCGTGGCTAGGGGATTATCCAGACTCATTTGAAGAAGCTATTTTTTGCCGAGAGCTGAGGTTCCTCTGGACAAGAATAAAGACATTAAGGATTGTCTATTAAGATTTTGCTTTAGTTGAGATAATAATGTGGGGGTAATTAAGCAAATTGTATAGACTCCAATGGGCCATTAGTCCCCAAAGGACATGGAGAGGACTTTACATTCTAAAAAAAAGAAAAAAAATCAGCATTTAGAAGCAGTTACATTTTTTTTTTTTTTAGGTCCGGTCGTGGGGCCTGAACTCTGGGCCTGGGCACTATCCCTCAGCTCTTCAGCTCAAGGCTAGCGCTCTACCATCTGAGCCACAGTGCCACTTCCAGCTTTTTTTCTTTTTGCTTATGTGGTGCTGAGGAATCGAACCCAGGGCCTCAGGCATGCAAGGCAAGCGCTCTACCACTGAGCCACCTTCCCAGCCCTAGAAGCAGTTACATTTTTAATTTCTTGTCCTGGGTT